CTATTGGCTATTGCAAAGTGAAATAGCCAATAGGAGTCTAGCTATGCATTCCTGTGGTGGTTTTTTCTCTTTTTTTTTTTTATTCTGATGGCAGCAGAACCGCCCGGCCAATAGTAAACAGTTGTGCGGAGCTAGCTGTCACTGCTTCCTCTGCCCAATCATTTTCTATTTTATTTTTTCTACTTTTTTAAGTGAATAGACCCTTAATTTATGGAACAAGATATAGGAATGGATTTAATAAAGGCAAGTAGGCAGTTAAAGGGCATTTTCACATTGCAGAAGTTTCCTCTTAGTTTAGTAAATGAAGTGAAGCTCTGCTGACTTAAATTACCCAGTCATGTTTTCTTTTTTTCCTTGCACATGATTGGGTATTCTTTACAAAGTCAAATTTCACCACATTCACCAAGCTGTGGGAAACGTCCGCTGCAAAGAGCAAATCCCCTTGCAAAGTGAACAGCCTATTTGTCGAACTCCTTCTGCACTTCGGGTGCTGAGCATGTTTGGCCGACCCGAAGCCAGCCACAGCAAGCCGATGTACGGCTGATTTTAGTCTGTGTACGGCTGAAATCAGCAGTACAAGCCTGAAGTGAATAGCCGAACAGCGTTCGGCTCACTTCTCTTCGAGTCGGTTATTCACCCGGCTGAGTACGGCAGCTTAGTTAATAGACCCCTAAGTGTGTAGAGCTCTCAAATCTCTGAAAACTATCAAGGCCCTGTTAATAAAATCTATACTTTTAAAATCCTTATTTTTCATCAAGGTTAACGTTACTAAACTAGGTAGAAGGTAGCGCATTGGAAGGTATCATAGACTGGTGTAATCCTTCCTGAATCTTTAGGAAGCACATGGAAGTTAATGATGGGTTGGTGAAATCTTACCACGAAAAATGAAGTCTTTGCAAAGTAGTTAAATTGTACTCTAGAAGCTATATCTTTATCAACAGATGACAAGTCATTTAGTAAGGATGCAGGGAGAACAACAGACCCAGTACTGTTTTCTGGCAGCTGAGAATCAAAAGTAACCTTTGGAATAAAGAATGAAAATATTATATTACTGTAAGACAAACACCTTAAAATTATATTGTTCACAGGACTTTCCAAAGGAATGTACAAGTTTACTATAAACACAACACAATTGGATCAACATTTGATTTTGAACCAACCAAAGAAAAAAAAAAAAGAGACATCATCAGTTTCAAAAATGATGACCTCAGTGCATCCGCTCAGATGGGGGGGATGCTGGAGTCATTTTTTTAAAATGCATTTCTGGGCAAAGTGTTGACAGCCCTGCCTGCCGGACTACAGAACTCCTCCCATCCCTGTCCCTTTCCACATACATACATTGACTTCTTTCCCAGAAAAACACTGCTGCTACTTTGATTACCAAGAGCCTGTCTACAAACGTGTGTAGGGATGAGCTCTAGGGAGATGTTGTTCTGGGGGAGCATTCCTATGTCAACAGGAGCAAGGATTCCAGCAGTTTGCCATATGTGTCCTCCTAGGAAAAGTATTTAACACTGTAGGGGAGACATATTCCAGACCCCTGTGTGGCATGGTCATGGGCTGACCTTTTTCACACTGTTTTTATAAAATCAAGCTACCCTTTTTAACCAGTGAGAGCTCTGTAATAACCCTTTAAAGGAAAGCCCTTGCTGACTTCCCTGTTGCGTGGGAGTAATGCCAGGGATCTCAAGTCTCCCTGATGTTCAGGGAGTCTCCCTCTTTTGGATAGCAGCTCCCTGATGTCCGCAAGAGAGGCATTTTCTCCCTGAAAGGTTTACTCTGAGTAAACCTTTCCGGTAAGATATCAGTGGGTAAAGTTTCAGTGAGGCTTGTCTCCTGGAGGAAGGTCATGTGATCTCTAGAGTCACCTCAGAACAGGGGCGGACTGGGCCGGGGGGGCAGGGTGGCAATTGCCCCCCGGGCCTCTCTGATGCCTTTAGAAACGGCCCCCACCGGCGCCGCCGCAGCGGTAATCACTCTTTTTTTTTCTCTCCCCTCACGGCCGTTCTGCTGCAGCGGCCGAAAGTGGAGAGATACAAGAAGTGATTGCCGCTGCACCGGCTCCGGCGGGGGCCGTTTTTACAGGAGGAGAAGAATTATTTGATGCCCGTGTACCGATCGGGCTCCTCGGCGGCCACGGACGGCAGCAGCTCCCTCCCCTTTCAGCTGCTATAGGCTGGGAGGGAGACTGCACACGATTGGCTGGCAGCATAGTTATGCTGTGCGGGACCAAAAGGCAGGAGACACCACGATGCGGCTGAAGACATGCAGGCAACTTCACTGCCCCCCTCCCCCTACCACCAGGAGAGAAGGAGAAGAGGGCACAGCACCTGAAGAAGGAAGGAAAAGTACCACTGTAAGTACCTGTTCTTTCTACCTGACCTCTACATTCCCCCACTGGCCTCTGCACTGCATACATACTGACCGCTGACCTCTACATTCCCCCGCTGGCCTCTGCACTGCATACATACTGACCGCTGACCTCTACATTCCCCCGCTG